TCCTATGGTCCGGAGATTCGATCGCGCAACGTGTGCTGATAGCTGTTCTTCTAACAGCAGAAGCAGAAGCTGGAGTAGACGCAGAAGCAGAAGCTGGAGTAGACGCAGAAGCAGAAGCTGGAGTAGACGCAGAAGCAGGAACAGATTCAGGAGCAAGATGGTTTTTTGGCGGGACTGGCACAACTGGAGGTGGATCAGGTTTGGCTTCAACGGTCTTCACACTCGAAGTTTTCTTGAGAGCTTCTGCTTTCTTACTTTTACCACGAAAGAAGTTTTTGATGAAAGTAATAAGTCGAGATACGCGGTCACGGTTATACTTGAGCGTCGGCATGATCTGATCGAGAAATTTATCCCACCGTTGTGAGCCTTTGAACCCCATGATTCGTTTGTTGCCAGCTCCAGCTACCGTCTCGACCCCCGCCATACCACGTTCTTCATTACCATAATCTGTGCTTGTACTATCCGTAGCATTCCCCGCTTTCAAACGATCAAGGTCATTGACCGAGGGAAGCGCCATACTGCTAGCATGGAGAGTGATTGCAAAGACTAGAGCAAGAACAAGACGGAAATCCATGTTTGAGTCTATGGTTCAAATCGAAAAATGTAGAAGCTGGAGGTCTACGCAGTGAGGGATCGAAGAACATATCACAAGACGTTCAAAGGCATAGCTTACTTAATTCACGATTAAAACTAGTTCGAATTTTAACACATCTGCATCCCATCTGATGCTTATCCCATCCTAGAGATCTAACAGGATTTATCGGTAAGGATTCATCTTTATGCATCTTGTAGTATATTTAAATGAACTAGAACCAACTAGCAACGCGAGTGCTTTTCATCATTGCGTAGTGTCAAATCTATGTATTTAAGAATTCTCAGTCACACAATTGTATAAATCTTGCACAACTGCATGAAATGTCATACATACGTTGACACTAGTACAGTACTTTTCCTATCCCAAAGCTAACATATGTGTATTATTTGAGCATGAAAGATAAGTAATTTGGTCATAATAGTCTATTTGCTTACAAATTAGCTAAAACGTTGTATATTTATACCGTTTAAGAATATTTACCATCTCCAGATGGCTGATACATTGATTGGACTCTTCAAAACAAACGGAGGTACGTGAAAAGTACACGCTGGAATAGCAGAAAGCTGCATCATTAGATCTCCGGCAGGTGATATCCATTTGACGTGCCATTCTTGATATTGTTTATTTCGATAAATAAGTAGCATGATCGCCATTCTTGCGGGGCCAATAGAACTGGTGAGCGTATCAAACGACGTCATCGTAACTGCTTCATAGGATACATTTCATAAAATCTAGAGTTGTAGGAATTCTAAAAACGAAGAAATTCACGATAGAGACAGTTGCAAACGTCGTCATCAATGTCGATCACCGTTCTCATGACTTTGACCGGGCACTAGCCAAATCGAAGTTAAAACTTTCATTACTCCCACCTTCTGACATCTCAATTTCTCGAAAGGGCCATAATTCGAGCTAGATAGGTCTTTCCAAAGAACTCGGTAAGAGTTTTAAGTTTAAAAAAGGTATACACCAATGTTTCTTGATCTCCAATTTGAATGCGTAGATACTGAACGAACTCGTCGATATAAGAAAAGTGTAAGGATTGATCTTTGCAAGCATCTTGTTAATTACTTCGCGAGCATAGCTCAATCTACTTTCGAGCAGTGCGTTTGCGAACTGTATTGTGTGAGCGCTTTTACAAATATATTGTTGAGATTCGCGGATGTAATTACATCCACCATAGGATGATAAATTCAAATGTGTCGTTCTATCGATGGCATTGTTGGTTGATGGGAAACAATATTTTTTGCAACATCATACAACTACTGTCATACATTTTTGCTACTCACGCACTGGTCTGCTGGTCAGTCTTCTCGCTGCCAGTGCTTTGGCAAGAACAAATTTCAAAATTGTCACGTCACAGACGGAGCCTTCGTTTAGATTCTTGAGTATTGTTTACTGACGCTCGTCGTAGTGTCTTCAATTGTAAAATCAGATTAGCTACAGTCAAAAATGCATGAGATGTACATGACACAGTGAGATGTACATCTCACTGTACATCTCATGCATTTGTAAAATTGTGCATATTACACAATTGAACATTTCGCGAAATTCAAATTACACTCTTTTTATTTTATCTATCCCTCTGTCCATCTCACGTTAAGCAAAAAGGATACTTTCTATTGGGTACGATAAAGCATCAGCTGGAGTTGATAAGTGATACAAAGTATATATTGCTTTTGGAATAAGTCACTTTGAGGGCCTCGGTTTTGCTCCTTAGTGGACAAACGAAGTCATACTCTGCGTAAAGTAAAAGCGGGCTCTTTGAGTCAGAGCTTTCGCTGTTTAAGTCGTACGGCGACCTCGTTACACTCGAACTTTTGGTCAATTTAACAACCCAGTCGTTAAAGGATTGTATTTTGCAAGCGAGGAGTTTGATTCCCTGTTCCCGGGACAACGTGAGAAGTTTGGTTAGTTTATGTCAAATTCGGGATCCGTTACTCTGCAGCTCAACTCCTGGAGCCGTTCACCAGCCATGAGATTGCGCGGAGGAGAAACGATCCAGTGCGGCATCGGCAAGAGCACAGAAGGTACTCAATGTGCAGCTAATGATGAAAGTATATATCTTAATAAAAAGACGGAAGGTCTTGAGATGGTCATGAAATTTGCTATGTTATAGGCGGAGCAACAGCGCATCAGCGCACACGATGTCTAGCGCAGAAGCTCGCGCACGAGAGCGTCCAGTGCTTCTGTGATAACGGCGGTAGTTGACGTGGAAAGATTCGAAGCGTCATTTTCTAACCGCATTTGTAACGGAGATTCGCGCGCCCTGGTATGAATGCTTCGGTTCACACATAATGGTGTGACCACACAATGGTGTGGATACACTTGATCAAAAAATCAGTACGTGGCTAGACTGACATTTAGTTAGGTTGTATTTTGAAGATAGAAAAACCTATAGAGTTCGATATAGACGACTTTGCCGCAAATAACACAATTAAATACAGCTTTAGTTTTAAACGGAAGAGCGTCTTTGCCTTGGGTTAAGGTTGTAATTAAGTTTGGAGTAAGTGGATTGCGATCCGCTACACTCGCACTGGTTCTAAGTATGGAAAGTAGGTCACTGACCTTAACTAAGCTTTCTCCAAGCGAAAGAGCTAAGGCAGCCCCGCTGCACTGGGTAGCACTTGTAGTCAATCTTCATTTGAGCCGAAACGACTGACCCTGTGTGAGAATATAGCGATCACCTTTTTGCCCCAGGGCATGCAGGACGGACTTAAAAAGCCGATGTCTCTGATTGGCTCTAAGGGCGTGCAACACCTCGCTTCGCAAGAACCTGAAGCGATTAGCGCGCGCCTAGAGGTGTTAAGAAGCTATAAAATGAGAGTGCCTGCGGCATATAATGTCGGCGTCGACCACGTCCATGACGCCACCGTCGGCGACGGATAAATCCTCCGATGCAAGCCGCTCATGGTGAGTGTTAAGACCTTTGCGGGCAAGGACGGAGAGCATCTTCTGCTCTGGGTGAGAAAGGCTAAGATGGCTATGGCGTTAGCCATGCTCCAGAGTGAGCAACAGCGCGTGGCGCTAGCTATCTTCAAGCTCAAGGGGTCAAGCGCAAGAATGGGCACTGACGTGCGGCACTTCAGTCGAGCGGCGTTCCCCTCCTGAACGAAGCTGAAGCTGCAGCTTCCACGAAATTCCCGCCGCCTAGCCAGGCATATTGCGTGGATTGCGTTTCCTTGCCGCCTGACAGGGCTTGAAAGAATTGGTGGAGTTTGCCCAACGGTTGCGTACTCTCATTGCCGGAATGGCAGCAGATCCTCTCCTCGAGGCGGTCACCGTGTCCGTCTTTATGGAGGGTGTCCGCACTGGCGTGGCCAGAATGGAAGTCTTCCGTTCTCACCTGTCTTCTTTTAAAGAAATTGTGAATGTGGCATTGGATGCCGAATTCATCTTTAAGTCGACACGGCCTGGTTGAAATGCACACCATAGCAGCTCGTCAAGCACTCCCGAGCCGATGGATCTCAGCTATGCTAAGGACGCGGAGGAAGAGCTCCGAGCTGCTGAGCAGCGCTCAGACACCCGATTTTTTTGTCTGTGGAGACACCCGTCAACGTCAGACTGGGCAAGACGCGTCAAGGTTTATCGAGCCCACGACCCGCTATGTACCAGTCTTTCAGTTTGTCGCGGGGAAACGACAACATTCGTAGGCGCGAGGCGCCCTACTGAGGAGGAACTAAATTGAGTTGAGCCTCAAAGAGGTAGAGGTAAGCATGGCTCAGCCCCGAAGAGCCCCGTGCTCTTGAACACGGAACATGTATGCAAGCCGGACTTGTTGGTCATGAAAGCGACCGTGGATGGCTTTGAGAAGCCAAGGAACATCCTGATTGATTCCCGGGCGTCAGGCAATTATGCTCGACACTCCACAATAGAAGGAAGTTAGCTGTATGCTGAGGCGCATGAAGGCGCGATTGAGTGACACCGTCAATGATTGCATAGCGACAGGGACGTGCGTCACGGTTTCGAGGGTTCCTGTGGACCTCGGTGTGAAGTTTCCTGACGTTGATAGCGTGGAACGCTGCCTAGTCTTAGACTGGGATTCAAGGTGTGATCTCATCCTTGGTATGACACAGTTGGAACACCACAAGCCATGGATAGCTTGAAGGTCGAAGACCTCGGGCGCAACGCGCATGTCTCCTGGTGAAGCTTTGTTGAGTCATGAACCCACCTCTGCTAGGAGGCAGAAACGCTTCTAACGTGGTCACTAGACGGGGATGGTCAACGTGCTGGAGATCGGAGTATCCGAGTTGTCAAACACCGAAGGTGTATTGGACAAGAGTCCCGAGCATGTCTCGCGGGCTGAACGTGGAATGGCACGCAATCCA